ACTCTGGTGTTAGCCCACTGTCTGCTGGCAGCCCACAATTACACACTTATTTTATTACTTAGTTTCCCACCCTGAGCCGGTGAGTCATCCCTAACCTTTTGCGCTGTAACAAACTCCTCTTCTACTTTTCTTCCTCCCCGACAGCCTCCTCACCCCTTAACTTTCAGAAGTCAATGTCTACTCAAACCCTTATCAAGGAGCGAGACAGGACAGGCTTAACTGTGGTGCTGAGCCCGTGACCTTTTTTCCACCCGAGCAATTGGTTTGAACAAATGAAGTGCTGTACTCTGGGTGTTCCGGTCCCTTGGGATCAAAACAGAAATAATAAACAGGACTCAAGAAGGGTGGGAAAGTGATACCTTGGTCCCATGGGCAGATCTTGGACCAAGACAAGGCAGGGCACTCCTTTCTGTAACCTGGACTTCACTATATGACTGCGTCATCAGATTGCAGAAATGAGGCTAATGTCCAGCTCCAGACAACCGGGCGTGGGGCTCCTGGGTGTTTTCAAGTAACAATCCTAAGAGAAGCCAGAGACGGCTTTTCAGTGTTTATTGCATTTAATTTATTAAGGGGGGGGTTATGAGCGTATGTGGAAGTCAAACAACGATTTGTAGGAGTCACCCCCTTTTTTCACTTCATGGGTCCCAGGGATTGAACTTGGGTATTCAGAATGGGCAGCAGGAGCCTTTCCTGCCTGAGTCAGCTCATTGACCAGGGTTTGTTTTTTTAAAAAGATGTAAAACCCCAAAAGTTACATAAGTTCTCTGTGTGGGAGCTGGCATGGAGTTGTCTCTGAAGATGCCAAAAAGGAAGACGGGACAGGAAATCTTGAAGAGGAGGGACTAAGAGCTAAAGAGACCCAGGAGTTCCTTACTAATTTTTACCTACTAATAGTTACAGGAAAAAAAAAAACAGATTTGGGCTAAGACTGGGACATAACCTTCAGGGTCCAGAGTCCAAGTCCTTCCCAGCATCCATGTAACCTGATGCACCTACATACAGTTCAGAGGAGAATGCAGATCAGAGAGGGCTTTGAAGCACACGTGCATGGGGAACGAGACAGTGAACTGCACAGCTAGCCCCTCACAGGCAGCTCCGCCCGAATCAGCAAGTCATAAGAGCAAACACAAAAATGCCCAGCAAGGCCTAGGCACCCACAGTCACAGCGCACGCAGCAGAATCTAAGGGATGAGAACTCGGGATGTAAGGCACTCTGTTTGGGGCTGGAGAGATGACTCGGGGACTGAGAATGTGTACGGCACTTGCAGAGGACCAAGCTGGGTTCCCAGCACCTAAGTGGGAAAGGTCAACTATGTCTGCAGCTGCAGCTCCAGGGGATCCCATGTTCTCTTCTGGTCTCTGAGGGAACTGCATGCACATGAGCCTCTCCACACACAGACACAAAGGTAATTTCAAAACAACAAGAACAGCACATAAATCTGAAGGCATTGGGTTTCCCAGCTTGTGACCAGAGCATCTTGCTAGCATAATCGTCAATTTTGTCTCCCCGCTGGTCACAGCTTTTCCTCCCCATATCCTATTAAAGGTTCGTTGGATTTACCTTTTAAAACATACAATTCAGAGTCTTCTAGTGTAATCACACAGGGGTGTGCAGACACCCCTGGATCCTTCAGAACCCCTCATCACCTCTTCCCTGACCACACAGTCCCATCCACACACACCGTGTCTCCTCAGCACCCCTGCGGCCTTTGGCAGGTGCCAGTTCTCTTCAGCCTCACCCACCTGCCCTTTACGAGGCTCCACACCAGGGGCACAGTACGATTGCTTTGTGGTATTTTGTGACCGGCATCTTTTATTTAGGTCATTCACCTCTCAGCATCAGGAGTTTTTCGTGGCTGGGTGGCATTCCACCATGCGGCTATGCTACGCTTTATCTGCTCGCTAGTTAATAAGTCCTCGAGTTGTCTCCATTAGGGTGCTGATAAGAATAATGCCACTGGCCCTTCCTTTTTAATAATGTTCTGCCACTCACCTGGTTGTTGCTGCCTGAGTAGAAGCCCCGCCACGGACTAGTCAGGATCAAACATTGCTGAGTAATCCATCTTCCTTAGGGGCCAGGCACTCTGACTGAGCCCTGACACTGTCTAAATGGCAATGGGTCGTGGCAAATGTCCCGATGACATTTCCAATTTTCTCTGTCTCTGCTTTTCTATATCTCCTCTTGAAGGTCCTTTGGAATTCTGATTAACCAATCCATCACTTTTCATGTTCAGATCGCAGAGACCCTGCAGTTTGGTTTCCACGTGAAGCATGTCTACAGTCTTTCTCTGGTCCCCTAAGCTCCACAAACTCGGTCTTCACAATACCGCTATATGGAAGAATGGTGTAGTACTCAGGAAAAACGAAACCGAGCACCAGAGAAACGGACACAGGAGCAGAAGGAAAATTCAGATCTGCCACTGCGTCAAGCGCCTTCTGGGAGAACTCATAGACAGGGATCAAAACTGCTTTTAAAAATCATTTGTTAGCCAGGCGGTGATGGCACACACCTTTAATCCTAGCACTCAGCAGGCAGAGGCAGGTGGATCTCTGTGAGTTCGAGGCCAGTGTGGTCTACAAGAGCTAGTTCCAGGACAGGCTCCAAAGCTACAGAGAAACCCTGTCTCGAAAAGCGGGAAAAAAAAAAATCAATTGTTGACCAGTAGCAAATTCACAGGTAAACAAGGCTAGGCAATTAAAATCAGATGTCTGACCAGAGTGATGATCCAGTAGAGAAGGTGCTTGCTCCCAGCCTAAGATCCACAGAGAGGAAGGAGAGAATCACCTTCACAAAGTTGACCCGACTTTCACCTCAAGTCATCACACACACACACACACACACACACACACACACACACACACACAACCACATATCACAATACACAATAAATAAATAGATGAAATTTAAAACTAGATGTTCCTAAATTAATGTAGAAACCATGTCACAAGGGGTGCAGTGATGGTGCACACCTTTAATCCCAGCATTTGGGGGCAGAGGCAGGCAGATCTCTGAGTTCAAGGCCAGCCTGGTCTGCAGAGTGAGTTCCAGGGCATCCAGGCCCAGGACAGAGAAACTTTGTCTTGAAAAACAAAAGAAAAAAGAAAAGAGCATGTACAATGTGACTCTCATATGTCTCATAAGAGCATATACGTATTGCTCTTACACTTTTTTCTTGTGTGCGCGTGTGCACAAACACACACACATGCAGAGACCAGATGTGAGCCTCCAGATGTGAGCCTCCAGATGTGAGCCTCCAGATGTGAGCCTC